TGCTTGAAATGATGTTTTCGTGATTGGTTGAGGAGACTGGACACAAGACAGGGACCAGCCCTGGACGGCTTGGATGATTCAGAGGCCCTGCACGTTGGAGACCCGACAGGGCAGGCACGACTACGACTGCTGCTGCTCCGCCCAACATAGACAGGGAAGGCAGCGACACAACACGGGACATGAGACGACGCACCACTTCGCGCCTTCCTTGCACGTGTGTGTGCTTCATTCACAAGCAAGGAGCAGGAACGAGATATGCTGCCATGCAACCATGTTGCAACCATCTTGTTGTCCGTTTGGCTCGTGGAAGAAAATCCCTCGGAAGCATCTGATGTTGCTCCTAATGAAAACCGCTCGGAACTTCTCAGACGGGCGCAGGCATACACACTCGCGATTGCAGTCAGATGCAGCATTCCGTATCTGGACTTGGGTTCTGAGTGGCCCTACGTCATGGTCTGGTTTCAAGGTGCCGCACCCAAGGCGGTTCGCGGGCCTCGAGGCATTTCGCTACGGCTACCGTTGGATTGGCAGGCACCAAACTTTCAAGCAAAGCAGAGCAGATAGATGAACGGGGTGACCAGGGCCCGGGCGGCTATGCAAGCTGAGGAATCGGCGAGTGCTGATTGCTCCCCGTGTTGTCTTCGTCCCCAGCCAAGACAGCTGCTGAATTGCCGCGGGCTAACCCACTGACAGTGGTGGGTGAGTGGGTGGGTTTGTGCTGCTCTCCTTGGGAGGAGGGTGGGTACCTTGCCTGGTGTCTTGGGTGCTGCTTGGGTGCTGTTTGGGTGATGACGGACGCTGAGGCTATGGCTTTGCAGTGCTTTACCCCGCGTTGATGCCTGCTGGGGACCCTCTCTCAGTGGATGCACGCCACACGCGAGCGACTGCCATGCCGTCCTCATGGGATTCCATTCATATGGCTGTCCCAGCAGCAAGAGCAACACAGGTCAAAGTCGACCTCGGACCTAGGCATATGAGCACAATCCTGACCCAATCGTCAAATCCGACGGAGAACAGCAGAGGATGCAAGGTTCGTGAATGACGACGACGGCACCAAGCGGGCAGGGAAACTGGCAATGGGAAGCCGAGCTTGTTCCGTTTCATGCCTCCCCAAGATGCCGAAGCACGAGCTGTAGCACTCGGTCACCCAAGCCCATGAGCTGTTCTGGGGAAACAAGCAAGTGAAAGTCGTCAGCACCTGACCTGACCCCGCATTGAGACACCGTCAAGGGGAAAGAGGGAGGGGAAGGCCGAAGCTTCCCTCTTGTCCGCTCGAGTGTGCTTTGTACCTCGATACACGCTCATGCAACGGCACCCAGCTCCCTCAGCGGTAGTACGTGCACCAGGAGCGCGGCCATCACAGAACTCCAAACGATGTATTGTCTACAACGCCCAACCACCTTGCGCCCGGCAAACGGGCTTGGGTTACCTCGCCTCGATGGCTCCTCGTCCTGCCGTCCTGCCCTGGGCTGTGTGTATGTACCTGCTCTGGCTTTGAGACGGCGTCAATAAAGGTCCTTCCCCCTCACGTCCGGTCGCTGTGACATTGCTCGTCCCATTCCCCCATCTCTTCTGCCCTGCTCTTGTCTGTTGGCTACGCCGCGTCTGCCTCTGCCTGTGTCCTCTGTCACCTCGCCAGCATCGCCAAAAGTTGTTTTGGACCGACCGATCGACGCTGCTGGCTTCACGTTGCCCGTCAATTCCCGTCTCTCTTGCTCTCTGGCTTCTGGCATATCTCTCACATAGCCGACTCCATTTGATCATCACCTGCAGTCAGAGTCAGGTACGCTACTCATTCACTCGTGCCTTGTACAGCCCAAGCCCCTCTGAGCGAGGCTGACCTGACCCCGCTCTTGACAGCAGCACCACGAGTCTCCGTCAGCCATCGTCGTCAACAACACGAGACGACACGACTTGACGATCAGTATTCGCCTGTCATTGTAGCCGCACTTTTCGTTGGCTGTCCTGGCTTTCTGGCCCTCTCTTGTGTAAGTCGGTAATTTCTTCTTGAACATCCTAACCAAGATGGCCCGCCGCACAATGCAAGTCCCCCCCTCGCGGAGGTTCAATCGTCCGTCGGCGCCGGGAGTCCACTCTCGTGCCTCGAGGCTCGGCCCCTCTTTCTCTCCCTCTCTCTCTCTCTCTTCCGTATTCCGTCGCACATTCCACTCTCCACCCCGCCTGCATCAGCATGAGCTTCAGCATCACCCCAGCCCAACTTTCTCCAGCCCAACAAGCCTAGACCCCCCAGACTTGGACCGCCCTCCCGCATTCGGACCTCTCTAGGCACCATGACGAGCGTAGGGGGCCATCCTACCTTTTCCGATGCATGCCTAGCCCGGCTCCACTCTGCTGCACCCCCACCATATCGCTCTCTCTGTCTCTCTTGTCTCTCTCACCCATTCACGCACCCACACCCATACCCCGGTTCCTCTGTCGGCAACCTCGAGCCAAACAAAGTCAAACACCAATACCGTCATATCCCTCTGGCCGACTCGTCTCCGTCCTCCTCCGTCTGGCCCTCGGTCAACTGGCACTCAAACCCTCGTCAGCCCTTGCCATTCAGTGACCTCCACCAGACTCTCGAGCCCCCCCCCATCCCTAATCATCTGCCCTGCCGTTGGCTCGAAGCTCCGAGTGGAGTGATCCAAGATCCGAGCTTCCTTCCCATTCACACCCCCCCCTGCTGCGACGGACATATTCACGCCCGTCACTGTTGCCGTTTGATCCCCCACCAGAGCGCGCCCTCAGTTGCCTGTAACCCCCGGCGTCACTCACCACCATGCTTCCACGGCCGCGTACTACCGACGTGGAATACTGGGCGCTTGTTGGCCATGTCTATATGACGTGCCCTACGCCCACTTGCTACACCCTCGTGTAAACTGTGCTGACCTTCTCTCTTCTCTCATCATCAGTTAGCTCCACAATCCACTTACACCCACTTCGCTTCTCCTTCAGAGTTTCACCAGCCTCCAACGCTTTCGAGCTTCTTCACAACCAGAAGCTCCCTGTACCCCTCCAACCCCTCTCGGTGCCTCCTCCCAGGCACTCGGCGCAGCACCTCCCCGCCCCCTACTCCGACATGAGCTCGGGCAGCTTGAGACAGGCCGCTGAAGCCGCGAGAACTCGCTCCTCTGAGGTCATGGGCCCTGCCAAGAACGAGACGGTCGCCGTCGCCAACGACTTCCTCCACTCTCCTCTCGTCCGTACAGCACTGCCCTTCATCAATGGAGGCATCAGCGGCATGGTCGCCACCACTGTCATCCAACCCGTCGACATGGTCAAGGTCCGTATCCAGCTCGCCGGTGAGGGTCTCGCCGGCGGCCCCAAGCCTGGCCCCCTCGCCGTAGCCCGTGACATTGTGGCCTCGGGCAAGGTCCTCGACCTGTACACTGGCCTCTCGGCCGGTCTTTTACGACAGGCCGTCTACACCACGGCGCGCCTCGGCTTCTTCGACACCTTCATGGGCAAGCTCACGGCCCGCGCCAAGGAGCAGGGCCGTTCCATAGGCTTCTCCGAGCGCGCCACCGCCGGCCTGTCCGCCGGTGCCATCGCCGCCATGCTGGGCAACCCCGCCGATCTGGCTCTCATTCGCATGCAATCCGACGGCCTCAAGCCCCTTGCCGAGCGCAAGAACTACAAGTCAGTCATTGATGCTCTTTCGAGCATCGCCAAGTCCGAAGGTGTCACGGCCCTCTGGTCTGGTGCCGCGCCCACCGTCGTCCGTGCCATGGCTCTCAACTTTGGTCAGCTCGCCTTCTTCTCCGAAGCCAAGTCGCAACTCAAGCAGAACGCCGGTTCTACCCTGAGCCCCCAGACCCAGACCCTCGCCGCCTCGGCCATTGCCGGTTTCTTCGCCAGCTTCTTCTCCCTGCCCTTCGACTTTGTCAAGACGAGGTTGCAGAAGCAGTCGCGGGGTGCCGACGGCAAGCTCCCCTACAAGAGCATGGCCGACTGCTTCGTCAAGGTGACCAAGCAGGAGGGTATCCTGCGGTTCTACCGCGGATTCGGAACCTACTACGTGCGCATTGCGCCGCATGCGTAAGTCATCTTGGTTCGAAAGTATGGTAGCAGGAAGCTAACGTCTTACTCCTTTTAGCATGGTCACGCTCATCGTGGCCGACTACCTCGGCTGGGTGACTAAATAAACTGGGCGAGTACTAGAAAAGAGAGAACGAGGTCTCGCGTGACGGCGCGTTGCACGCATGCTGTGCTGGGCGATTTTGGGTTTCTTTCGTTTTTCTTTGGTTTCTTTTCGGCGCTGAAGGAGCATCATAACTGGAAGGAGGGAGGGCTGACTTTGTGACGAGTTGATTATACCAAGAAGAGAACAGAGTGAGAGAGGACAGTATACAAGCATGTGTGTATGCATGTCTGCAAGCTCTCGACAGACGCGAAAGCCGGGCTTGGTGGGCAATTGATCACCAATATTTATTACCACGTGCCGGATACCGTGAACAAAATGTGTACTCGTGAGCCAGAACTCGTCATGATGTAGTACAGGTGGGGGAGACCAGCGTGGTTGGTGACACAGTCTGCGGGGCCCCACACACCCCCTCCACTGACGACGAGCTGGAGGGGCGGGGGAGCCAGTCTATCAAAATGGCCTCCAACGAGGTATCGCAACCATGAACCTTCCCATCCATCATCTAAGACACAAACGGGCATCATATCGGTTACGAAGGGGGGCGGAGGGGGGGGGTCTGCAAGGTAAAGGCCGGGGCACTCTCAACATCATCTATTATTTAGAGGAACGCCTTCGCTGGCTGACTAGCTGTCTGCCTTCGTTTCTCCACAACGTATTCTGTAGTCTTACAAAAAAAGGGGAGGGGGTAACCCACCCACAGCCCTCTCTGGTGCACGCGCATACCCTCCGCTCTCTGCTCGCTGCCTGCTCATGCCGATGCCGCCTGCTCATTCGCACACGCACTTGCTGACCCAGACGCAGGACGCGGCGTCCTTCCCGCGCTGAAGCTCCCCTACACCCAGACCCAAGACCCCTAGTCCTGACTGGCGCTCAGGTTCATGTTCTTCTCCCATAGGTTCCTCAGCAGCGTGTTGAGCCCCTCGCCCGCCGCGTCGTCGTCCTCGCCACCGACGAGGCTCGATCCGCTGAGCTGTGTCGTCGTCCCACCGCCGCCGCCTTCGGCATCAAAGCTCGATCCGGCGCCCGTGCTGCGCAGCGTCCGCACGGATTGCGCCCGCGGCGTGACGGGTCTGCTGTGGCTGTTGCCGGTGCCGGTCGCGCTGGCGGCGCCGAGGCTGACGTTGCGCGCATGGCCAGCGCCGCCGGGGCGCAGGGCGGGCGGTTTCGATGCGGCGATGAGGCCGTTGCGCCCGTGGGGGATGCGCTGGGGCTTCTTGGCAGCCTGGACGGCGGCGGCGATGCGGTCCAGCGAGCGGACGACGGGGTTCTGGTAGCGCCGCACGCTGAGGTACTCCATGCCCGTGCGCTCGAGCTGCTTGGCAACGCGGGGGTCGCGCGACGTGCCGCCGTCGTGGCCCGGGTTGGCGACGGCCACGAGCGGCGTCGCGCCCACCGTATTGGGACCGCCGAGCGACATGCCCATGCCCATGCCCATGCCCATGCCCATGCCCATTGTCGACATGCCGCCTGAGTGATGGTGTGCCGAGCTGTGGGTGCTGGTGGAGGAGGGCTCAATGACGGAGCTGGCGCGCTGTAGGTTAAGTTTCTGCTGGACGCGGGACTGGGGGGCGTTGCGGCGCGCGTTGCGCGGGGCGAGGGCGCTCGTGTCGTCAACGTCGCTATTGCCTGATGCCGGCGTGCGGTTGGATGACGTCGTAGAGAGAGCGCGGTGCGGCGTGTCAGGGGCGGCGTCGGAGCGGCGGCTCGTGGGGCGGGACGGGTCAGGATGGTAGAAGGAGGAGTTGCGCGTGTTGCCTGAGCTGGCGGCGCCGACAAAGCGCGACGTCAGCTCGTCGCCGCCGGCGCTGCCTGCGGCGTTGACGCTGTTCGAGTCATCGTCGAGCGTCGACTGGCGGCCGAAGGAGTCGGGCGAACGGTTTCGCGAGACGGGCTCCGCTGTGTCATTGGTTATCTGTGGCGGCACGATGCCTTGGGAGGGCGTTCGTTGCAGGAGGCGTGAGGTGAGATACTCCTTGTGCTGCAGTGTCTGCCGATCCGGTGTCGACATGACAGGCGGTGAGGGGGACGAGGGTAGGGAGGCCTTGTCTGCTGGTGTGTGAGGCCGTGATCCTGTGCCGGCCGAAGAGCCAGGCTTCGCGGACCCCTGACCACTGGCCATTGATCCGCGACGCGACAGGTACGGCGAGGCTGAACCGCTCGCGTCGACCCATTCGTCCTCCTGGCCGTCACTGCCGAGGTCGAAATGCACCTGCGACTTGGTCGAGGCCTTGACCTTGTTGACGGCGGGATTGGAGGCGGTGCGCTTGAGCTTGTCGGATGACTTGGTACGCTTGTGGGCGACCTCGACATGGGACCTGTTGCGGCGCAAGCTCGCCGCAGAGGTGTTGCTCTTCAGGTTGGAGGAGGAGCTGTCGCGCGACAGCTTGGCTTCGGACTGGACTCGTCGGTGACCTGGTCTGGTGGATCGCTCTGTGCGATCGCGATCACGCTCTGGTTCTGGTTCTCGTTCTCGTTCGCGCTCGGGAGAGGGTGAGTGATGTCGGCGCTGGTTGTTGAGCTTGGAGGCGTGCGCCGTGTTCTGCTGCTTGTGCAGAGCCTTGGAGGAGGGGATTCGGGCGTGTAGCCTGCCACCGCCGACAACGTGCTTCTGGTGGTGGTGGTGGTGCTTGGGGCGGTGATGGTGTTCTCGTGTGGAGGATGCGCTGTCCCGGGTGTGGTCACTTGTCTGCGAATAGTCACTCGCATCTCGGTGTCGGAGGGATGGACGTTTTGATTGGCTGGCGGAAGAAGCATCCTGGCCGTCGTCGCCATTTCTGTCGGCGTCGCGAGGCATGGCTGGCTGGCTGTGGCCGGCCGGCTGGCTGCTGCAGTCTGTGTGGGCGTCTCTCGTCTTTGGTGAGCGAGAGCCTGAGCCCTCTGCCTAGCCTAGGTAGGTCGGTAGGGGGGGGGGGTGCGGCCTGAATCGGATCCAGGGGTGTTGTGTTGCAGCCAGTCGCAGCGAACGTCGGTGTGCAGGCCTGCAGAAGGTAAGATTTGGTGTAACCGAGGGGCGTTCTCAATTAGTCGGTCAGAAGGCGCGGTGCAATGACGGAGGGCTAGGAGACGAAGGAGGGATGAAAAGATGTAGGAGGCATTCGAAATGGTCACAGCACGAGGGATTGAGAATGGAATGGAGGTTTGGGTTTAGTTCGGCCAGGTGCTCTGGGGTTCCTCCTTCCTCCCTCCACTCGGGTCCTACCTGCCTGGGCTTGGGCTCGTTGCTGAGGCCCCATCGTGCCGAATGCCAATCCACAATCGGTGGAGCGCCAGTGCCGGTGCCGGTGCTGGTGCTGCCGTCCCAGAGCCGCCCGCAACCGACGTCTATAGGGCCCTTTAGGCACATGCCGCCTGTCTCCCAGGCCTGGTCCGTTGTCCTGGAACACCTGGAGCTCCCTACCTAGCTACATGTACCTTCCTTACCCACAGCAGTTTGCTGATTCGCTATACTCCGATTGGCCCATGGCTACCCATCCAAAGTTGACTTATCAGCACGTGATGACCCCACCCCACCCCCCCAGTGACGCAAATGGCAGTCCCTGTGGCCAATGGATCGCCCAAGGCTTGAACTCTGGCGGCGTCAAACATTCTAGCCGATTGCCATCACACAGCCAGCTAAGGCATCTACCGACAGCCTTACCATCCAGAACGCCGCATACTCAACATCCTTTGACCGGCCCTACTTCACCCGCCATAGAAACCCGATAATAGCCATCATGGCGAGCCAGATTGCTGCCTACGAGGAGGACCGAAAGGCCTACCAGGAGCAGGTTCGCATGTCCCATCCATGAACAAATCCTGACCGCAAGCTAATGAACCTCCCCGCGCAGCTCGATGTTGTCGTGGCCGGCCTCAGCGACGATCCTGACAATGCGGAGCTGAAGAATCTTCAGGCGGAGTTGCAAGAAATGATCTCCCTGATTGACGAGTCCCTTGCTGAACTCAAGCCCAAGCAGGCACCCCAGCCAGCTGCGCCCGTGAAAGCCCCCACACCCCCCGAGCCGGAGAAGTGGTCGCGCGAGAACCACCCGGCCTTCAAGAAGACGACGACGACCGCCGCCGCCGCCGCCGCCGCCCCTGCGCCGCTAGCCGAAGACGAGGCAGCCGCGGCTCAGGCCACCTACAATGTCAACGACACGGTCCTCGCCAAATGGGTCACGGGCGACAAGGGCTTCTACCCGGCCCGCATCACCTCCATCACCGGCTCCTCGACGGCGCGCGTCTACATTGTCAAGTTCAAGAGCTACGACACCACCGAGACGCTGCGCGCCAAGGACATCCGCCCCGTCTCCAACAAGCGCAAGGCTGACGGCACACCAGCAGCGGCGGCCGCCGCCACAGCCTCCCCCGCGGCGTCTGGCGCGGTCGCGGGGTCCTCGACCAGCCACAACGGCATCGTGACGTCGGCTTCGGCGAGCATTTACCCTGAGCAGCAGGCGCGGCTCGACGCCGAGAAGCTGGGTGGTGACGCTGTGGCGAAGCCGCCCAAGGCGAAGAAGATCAAGGCCAACAAGGAGCTGGAGAAGGGCAAGAGCAAGTGGCAGGAGTTCAGCAGCAAGTCCAAGTTTGGCAAGACGCAGAAGAAGGACAGCATGTTCCGCACGCCGGAAGGCGTCCACGGCAGAGGTATGGCCCAATTCTGACTGTCCAACGATGCAGTGCTGACAAGGAAAAGTGGGCTTCACCGGCTCTGGCCAAGCGATGCGCAAGGATCCCACGCGCAGTCGGCACGTGTACCAGCAAAACGAGGAAGTTGAATAGCGGCCCTTTCCGCAAGGGAGTCAGAACGGTTGCATATTCCATGGCGTCAGGGTTTTTTTTTTTTTTGTGCTTCCTTTTTTTGCTTTTCCTTGTTTCCAACGGCGGCGTCCAGAGGGCCTGATGGTTGCATTCCTTACCGGTAAATCGCCTCTCTCATTCTATGCGGAGGCTAATTTATGCGTGCTGTGTGGCCAGGTCAGGCATGGCTCAAGGGAGCCGCCTGCGTAGATTTGCAGGTATGCGGGATACGGCAGACGGCAGACGGAAGCGCTGTCCTCTAGGTCGTTCGAATAAGGGGATACCATGATTCATTACACTCTGTCTATACACTTGTCCGTCCTTTTCGCAGTTGATACATGGTGATACATGGTGATACATGGAATGATACAGACTTTGGCCCTAGGTGTGTCACCTCGACATGTTGAGCTTGGCAGCAACATCCTCGGCCATTTTCACAAAAACACGAGCGCGCTCGCTCGTGGGCTCGGCCACGACCGTCGGCTTGCCCCTGTCGGCGTCGTCGCCAATGGCAGGATGCAGCGGCACGTCGGCGAGGAACTCGATGGCGTGCTCGCGGCACATGGTCTCGACGCGCTCGTTGGTGCCGAAGACGTTGGTGTGGCCGGCGCAGTGCGGACAGGTAAAGAGCGACATGTTCTGGACGAGGCCGAGGATGTCGACGCCTACCTTTTTGAACATGTTGACGCCCTTGACGGCGTCCTTGACGGCGAGGGCGTGGGGGGTCGTGACGATGAGGCGCCGTCGAGCAGGACCTGCTGGTGATGTGAGCTGCGTGTCGCCGTGCCGGCGCAGGTCGAGGACGAGGACGTCGAGCCGGCCCAGTCGACGTCGTGCAGAGCTGCTGGACCGACTTCATGACCA